ATGGAGTCGATTGAGGAGGGGGAGGCTCCTCCTGAGACGGGAGAATAAACCGTCATGGAGGCAGGGATAGGCCCTGTGCCCCTTCACCTCGTCCCTTCCAGGGGATTTTGGGCCGGCTATGCCGGGAGGTACTGCTTCTCCCATGTGGTGATCCCCTCTTTTGCTCCATGACACACTTCGGTGGCCAGAACTAGGAGGCTCCACCAGCCTTTCAGCGTCCTGAGGTGGCCTTGAAAATTGCCTGGGGTGCCTGCTGTGGTCCTGAAGCCAGCTGGTGTCCAGGGCAGCAGCAAGGCTGGCTGGGCACCCCTGGGCAGGCCTGGCTGCAGCACAGGGCTGCTGGAGGTGGCGTGATGGTGGCGGCTGGCCTGCCTGCGCTGCCTGTGGAGGCTAGGCTTGTTGGGTTGTCTGACCAAAGGTGGCAGCTGCTTTGAAACAGCCCCAGCCAAGGCAGCGAGCTTTTGCTAGACTCTTTGCTCCCCCAGCTCGCTCCCGCCCACCTTTTCCTCTTAGCACGGGGGTGGCTGGGTGCATTTTGCTGAGGAGGCTTTGGTTGGCCCTGACTGAGAGCAAAAAGGGCACCTGGGAGGCGAATCCTTTGTACCTGAGCTTCCGAGCAAGCACAATTCAGGCACGGGGTGCTGAAGGTGACTTTTAGGTTTCCCGCTATGAATTATAACTTGGCTGGGAGGTAACAGCTGGCTGGAGTCAGCTGTGGAAGGGGCAGCACAACATAAAGCAGAGGAGCGCTGGACTGGCTCCTGCCGGGGTTTCAGCCAGCCCCTGTGGCAATAAGCTGGTGAGATGTTTGAGGTCAGGCTCGCCTGAACTTTCGTGATTTGGCCTCCATTCCTCTAATGCACTTTGGATTCAAGACAGGGGAATTCATTGATTAGCTAATGTGTGCTCAGTACTTTGAAGATGTGAAGTCTTATGAAAGTGCTGAGCTTTATTAATTTGTGTTTGGGTGATTTGGCTGGACAAAAAAGGTGTGGGTGGTTGGGGTTTTTTTCCCCTCACATTTCAGTAGCCTTGAACAGGTTGCAGCTTGTGAGGAGACATGAACAGTCAGTATGTGTTTCACCGAATGTGTGAACAATTTATTTATACTCATCAGTCGAGGATCTTCCTCAGTTTAAACAATTATACCTTATTTGCTCCTTTAAAGTAATTCTTTTTGTCTTCCACGTTTCCTTTAATGTTTTTATATGCGCAAATATTGATATGTCCATACCTTAGAGATGGACATGGGCTGCTATCTGGTTTATTGCTAATTCATTATAAATTCTCACCTAGATTTTCTCAGCAGCCTTTTTAAATTTTCCTTTTTCATATGTATGTGCGTGGGAATAAAGCGATCAACTTTTAGGCAAGTTCTGCTGTGGTGTGTGGTATCTTTTGTAGTACCCTGGATGAGAACATTAATGAGGGGTAACACTCAAGACAAATCTTTTAAAGTAACGTTCATTATAAAAAAAAAGCCCAACCAAACAAAAACCAAAAACCCCACCGAACAGGAAATGGAAAGCAGTACGCTGAGAAACATTGCTGGTTTTGAGCACTAACTCTGTTTAGGTAAAAAGACTTGTTAAAACCCCAGATCTTTTGCTTTGTTTTGTACAGTTGAGAAAGACACGGAAAACATTGTGCAAAGCTTTGGAAGGACTGCACAAATCTGTGTGATGTTTTGGCTGACGCTTACTTTGGGCTATTTTATCAACATTTACTTTTTTTTCTCTGATCCCTTCTGTCCCTGAAATGGCATATATCAAGAAGCCTGAAGGCAAATGGAAACCTGAAATTACTTGTAGTTACTGTGAATTTATTATTATGTCATTTCACTGAAAAAACTTGGGAATTAAGATGTGCTGATACTAGGACTGGGTCCCAATATAGACCAGTTGCGTAGCAAATATTTTAAGACATTGTAAGAACTCGCTATCTGGAAAAGTAGAAAAAGATGTATAAAAAAGTGTATAAAAGGCTAAATATACTTTTGCTTACACAGTGGTAAGAATCTAAGTAGATCCTGTGGTCTTTAATTTGGCCTAACGACGAGCCTGACAAAGCACTGTGCTGAGAGCTTGGACATACACACCTGG